CTGGGACTGGACAGCACGGTAAGGGTTCATTTTGCATTGGGAAGACAGAGGAGACTGTCAGGCAAGAGGGTTGGGCTCCAAGTAAGAAAGGTGGTTTCTGGCTATGGTACTCACTCGTTCTTTTGGTCTGGAAAAACAGCACTTCCCAATTTGTTTCCCAAACAATAGGCTGTTATTCCTGTTCAAGGAACAGTTTAAACCTGTCCAGGGTTAGAATTGCTCTGAATTTGACTGAGCTGCCCTGCGCTCCCCAATAAAATCTCCAGGGCTCTGCCACTGACTCAGACTGGGTTCTCCTGGGGGGTGTTTGCAGTTTGGGGGCCTGGAAGCCGTGATCACAGCCCTGATGGATGAGTATCCCCAAGTCCTAGGGGAGCACCGTCAGCTGTTTGTGCTTGGACTCATTGTCATCTGTTTCCTGGGCTCCCTCGCCACGCTGACCAATGTGAGTTGTGGGGGCACTGGGCGTTTTCTGACCCTTGATCTCAGGGCCAGGCAGCGCTTCTCTGGTTAATGCAGAAGAAAGGCCGGCTGGCATATTGGAGGTCACCGAAACACGCTGGACACAGAGGATGGCTGGCAACAGCTGCCCTTATGTATTTCCCAGAAATACAGTATCTTGTTAACATACTTGCCCCACCAGGTAGTGTTTTATTTTGCTCCTATTATGGGGGAGGGGGTGAGGCAAGATGGAAGCCCCCAAGTGAGCCAAGCGTGGGACTTCCCCCTACTAGAATCCACCACGAAATGGCAGAGAGGTACCTCAAAGGCCAACCACTGCAGTGTGGTATTGTCCACCTTCAAGGAACCACAAGACTGCTACCAACCCACAACCCCAACCTTGGGGGCCTGTAGTCTAAGCAAAGTGCCCCTATCCCCCCCAGTTTCACAGCAGGCTCTTTGCTGGTGTTCCAATCCAGGGAGGCCCCTACATTGTGAAACTCCTGGAAGAGTTCGGTGCTGGTTGCTCCATCTTAGCTGTGGTGCTGCTGGAAGCCATCGCCGTCTCCTGGTTCTACGGTGAGGAGGGATGGGTTGTGGCCCCCCTGGTGGCAGGGGGAGCCTCCAGAAGACCCTCAGTGCTGTCCTCCAAGACCCAGCCAGACGTGCCTTTTCTAAGAATCGGTAGAGTGACCGCCCCGCGTGGGTCTCCTTCAGGGAAAAACTTCGCAGAAACAAGCCCCCGCAGGCAGAGCTTTTCCCCACCATCCCTGCAAACCTTCCTGCGCCTTTCTGACTTTGAAATCAATGCTCAGAGTAGCTGTCCCCCAGAATGACTGGGGAGAGGCCCCAGCCCCTCAAAGGACTTAAAAGTGTGGGCTTTGCCAGAGCTGAAGTTGCTGAGCCAAAGATGAACAGCTTGAATCTCTCTTCCAGGAATGCAGCAGTTCTGCAGCGATGTGAAGGCCATGCTCGGGTTTGGACCAGGCATGTACTGGCAAATGTGTTGGAGAGTTGTCAGCCCGGCCACCTTAGCCGTACGTAAGAGATACTTCTCCATCATTGTTTTTATGTCACCATCATCCAGACTGAGATTAAAATAGACACAAATATTCACTGCCCCCAAATGCTTTTAACTGAACACTCCAAAAATGTGGGGAAACTGCAAAGAAACATGGGATGAGTGGTGGGTGGGAGGAAAGGCATAGTTATGGATAAGCCGGGTTGCCCTGTAAATTAGGAATCAAAATGTGTTCCCAAAGGAATATTCTTTGCATCTCCATCAAGAAGGTCTTGCTTAGTTTTTATTGCTCTTCCCAAAGCTCTAGAGAAACCCAGCCAGTCAGACTGAACCATGCTGGAGCTAGAAATGAGCTGACCTAAAGCCAGTAACCGCAAGCAGCTTTTTCACTTCCAGTTCCTGCTGAGCACAGAAACACTCATGCCACACAAATAATTGTAAACGCAAGGCCACAGATACCTCCACAATTGAAAGACAGCATGTAAGGAACTCGGAACCCATTTCACTCTGATTGCCCCCCACAAGAGTCTTTGTTTAATAATGCCAGAGTTCAGACAACCCAAGTTTGTGGATCACAGCCCTCTTCGTGAGCTGGCAGGGGCATTTCCATGAGAAAGGGGTACGGGTGCCCCAGTTCCTAAACAGGGAAATGAAGTTTGCTGTGCTTCAAACCACAACGTCAGTTTTGTCAGATGTCCCTGGCTCTCTCTAGGGCTAACAGCCCCTTGGCTACTGTTTGGTACAAATGTCCCTTTGGGGGTGGAAGGGATGAATTTTGTGGCTGGGGGGGCTTGTAAAGCAGCCAAGACGGGGACGGGGCAGCGGGGGCAGCTGGGCGTTCTCCCAGAACGGATTTTATCCTTGTCCCTTGCCCCAGTTTATTCTTATCAGCTCCCTCCTGGACCAGCCACCCCTCGTGCTGTTCGACTACAAGTATCCTGCGTGGAGCATCCAGCTGGGACACCTGATTGGAATGTCGTCCTTCCTCTGCATTCCTGCCTACATGGTGTACAAGCTTGTCTGGACCCCTGGATCTCTGAAGCAGGTCAGGGAAATAAGATCCTAACAACTCTGCCCGGGGGAGTCCCACAGCCCTCTCCTCCCGCGGATCCGATGCCTAAAGAGCGATCCCCAGGCCGCCTGGCTGAGAGACCGCACTGCGAATAGGCAGAGTCTCATCCTGGCCTCGGTTCTGCCATTAACCGAGTCAAAGGCAATGGATCTGAAGCAGGAAGAGTTGTTCTACCCACGGGGGGGGGGGGGGGGGGGGGGGGGGAGGGGGGTTGGAAAAAAAAGGGAGGAGGGAAGGTGCATTTATGTTATTATGCTTGGGCTGTGCTCTGTGAGATTGTGAAAGCATGGACGTGGGTAAAGATTATTAGGAAAAGAGTCAGAAGTAAAAACGCTAATGTTTTAACACCTTGACCTGGAGTGGAGCCACGCATGGGACGCCACAGAGCTCAGGTTGCTGTCCTTCAAGAAGTTCTTGGACAACTGGACAAAGCAGTCCCCACCTGACCCTTTCTCCCTCTCTCTCCCCACTCTTTCTCTCTGTCCTTGGCCGCCAGCGCCTCGCCCTGTGCCTTCGGCCAGAGAAGGTTGTGCAAGAGCTGCCCCTGGAGACGGTGGATGTGCCAACCTCCCTTTAATTCCCTTGACTGAGAGCTCCTGCCTCCTACCCCGAAAACACAGGCTGTTCTCTGCTGACCCCCCACAGAAGAACACCCGGCCAAGGCAGCAACCAAGTGGATGTCGGAGCCCAGTTGGGTGGGCTGACCCCGCCATCTCCCAAGCCAACTCTCCAGCGCCCCCTCCTCCTGGAATTGCTGGCTCCTCACCCTGCCCCCGCCCCCAGCACAGCTTCTGATCCTTGGCATGCCGGACAGAAACACCTTTGTGGGGACTCAAGATAACCCTGGCTTTGGCCCTGTTTGCCTGTCTCGCAGAAGAGCTGCGCTGGGAGGAGGAGGTGTGCTGGGCATCTGCAGCCAAACCTTTCCCCGTCTGTCTAAGTGGTCAGGGCCCCCCGCCCCCAGC